TTATTGATTTATTTTGTGATTCGTTTAGTAAATTTAGTAGCAAAGTGAAGAAGAGCCTGTATCTTTGAATGTATACATCTTGAAATAATTGTTTGTTGTCTGATCATTATTATTTTATCTCTATGTTGCTCGTTGTTGCTTTTTGCATTATTTTTAAAATTCTGTTTGTTAATTGAGATTATCCTATCTATTTTTTGTGTGACTGTAATTTATTTATTGTAAGATTTCAACTATTTGTAAACACTTGTAGAATGCTCTTTGCGTGAATAAAATATTGAATTTTGAATGTATAGACGGAAAAAGGTGAGATTTTCTCGTCACAGAAAAAAATAGTGTATTATAGGGCGGTTACACACGGACGTGGATGTCTTAATACATATACGTGCATACATCAACGTGCAAACAACAACGTGCATGGGCGGTTACACACGGACGTGGATGTCTTAATACATATACGTGCATACATCAACGTGCAACCAAGAACGTGCATGGCGCTTTTGTACACACGCTCGTACAAAACTGCAGTCTTGCTATTCTTGCTACAGTGTTCCGAGTGTGCATACAAAATTTGCACATTCAAAAACGCGACAATATTTTGCATACACATTGATGTTTTTGTTTGCACGTTCATGTATGTGCGTACATGTTTTCAAACATCCACGTCCGTGTGTAACCGCCTATAGACGGGAAAAAAGTAAGATTTTAGCGCTTGCTGTGTTGTTTCAACAAACAAACCACACCTCACGCTAAAATCTAGTACTTTTTTCCCTTGTATAATAAATAACTATTTATGCACATTGCAGCGTGCGGTAATCATTGATTATGATTCATGCGTAATAAAAAATCTATTTCATGTTGTGGCAGCAGTGGGTAAAAATAAATTGCAACTGGTGGCTGACTTGTGGCAGTGCATTTCTTATGAAAATATTTAATCAACAGGCAGCCACCAGTTGTGATTTATCTTTACCTTGTTTCAACTGACTTAAAAAAGACTATACCTACTTATTCTGTTTGGTGAGATTTTGCTCATGGACTTTATTCGAAACTAATTCACAATTTATTTTAAGTAATAATATCTAAGGGTTTTTTTTTTTTTCATGAGTATTATTTTTTATAGGTTGATGGAAATAAATCCTGTGCCAAATATGGGGCAGCAAAATTTAAAAAAACTAACATAAGGAGGCGTCCTACTACAATTAAAGTGCTAACTTCATCAGCTTTGGCTGAAAAATACTCAATGTTAATCGACAAAAAACTAGAACTGGCAGAATGTCTCAAGAAAGAGCATCATATGCGCATGAAAATATTAAATTTTGACCTTGAAATGAGAAAAAAAGGATTGAAGTCTGCAGGATATACAGATATGGATATCCAGCTTCTAGACTCGTGCAAATTAAATTTGTGAATTAATAAGAGTGTTGTGGTTCTTAAAGTAGTGTAACATGTTTTCCTATTAGATCAGATTATACTTACCGAATTATCTGGAATTATTATGAAATTCCAGAAGTTAACTCTTAGTTATTTGTTAAAATAGTTTTATAATACCCGTCCTGTTCGTTTAGCCCAGAGTTCGATATCCGTAATAAAAAATTATTTTTTTCTGTGACGGGAAAAAAGTAGATTTTTTGTATCTGTTGACAGGGGCAAAAATGTCACTTTTTCTCCCATGGGACCAAAGTGATTTTTTTTGCCCACGGGAAAAAAGTAACAGGTACCAGTCAATTTTTTTTCCTGAGGGAAAAATGTAACAGGTACCATAGATGGAAAATGTTGAGATTTTCCCGTCACAAAAAAAAATAGTATATTATACATGGGAAAAAAGTAAAATTTTAGCGCTCGCTGTGTTGCCTCCCTCTGCTTCGCGTCGGGACACAAAAGGACAAACCACACCTCGCGCTAAAATCTAGTAGTTTTTTCCCTTGTGTAATAAATAACTATTTTTTGTTATAAAAAAAAATGTTTTTTCAATTGACAACCTATTTTACTTTTTTAAAGTACTCCTCAGCGTGTTTAAATCCAACATTCAAAAACGCGCGTGTTTTAAGTTATCATGACAACATCAACAACCCAAACAAGTCTAAATGTCAACTTTTTAATTATTGATTTGTCAGGAGTAGGTTAGGAACTGGTAAATAACGTCAAATAAAATATAACAAGTGTTAAGCACGAATTTAGCATTCTACAATTATAAGTAATTTATGATTTGAACGTATACCTACCAATAAAAAAAATAGTGTAAAGTATTCGTGGATACCTTTAAAACACTTGTTCTATTTCGAGCACTCCGGCTGCGCCGTCGTGCTCGAAAAATCGCGCGTGTTCTCTTTTTATCCACTTATACTTCAATATACTATTATTAAGGTATTTAGATATAATATTAATCAAGGTGAACAGGCTTGTAGTTAGATAGAGTAAGATTCTGTAATAATAATATTAAAGGGTGTTAAAAAGTTAACTAACAATAAAAGTATGTCCTTGGATGCACTATTTTCTTGGCAGTGTTTTTGAATACAAAGTAAATCTAATCAGGATGACAACTTTACAAAAAACGTTACTTTCAAACTTAATTAATACTGTATATGAACCAGAGCTGGGAGTAACGACAAAAAATAGTTACTTTACTTTAACGAGTTACTGAAAGTAACGCGTTACTTGGAAACTTCGTTACTTTTCAGATTGATTGATAAGTAACTGTAACGACGTTACTTTCCTGAAGTAACGCTGGAAGTAACGCGTTACTAGTTACTATGAAAGTAACTCGTTCTCTCAATTTGTTTATCTTCTTTACAAATAATTGACGAGTGAGGAAAAGGAAAATAAGTAATCCAAAAACTTTGTATGTCAAATAAAATGTGGGTAGTACAGAAAATTTGTTTTGAAAGCTCAAAATAATCGTTTTTGGGCGTGCCACGCGCCGCCTCTGCTCTAAAGACACTATATGCAGACACTGAGACGCTGCAAAGAGCAGGTTTGTCCAAAACCAAGTGCTCTATTCAGTCGCTTAATCCTTAATCCGTTTGAATTTTGCAAGAATACTCTTCCACATAGTCGGACTCACAAACTAAAAACATATTGGCATTTCGAATAGGTCTTATTTGATTGTTTGGACTGCTGCGTTGGTGAGTCAAATTAAGGAATAACGCAATTTTTGACGTAAATAGTTATTTTCAAAGTAACGAACTACTTTTAAAGTAAAGAAGTTACTTTCAAAGTAAAGAAGTTACAGTAACGCGTTACTTTCCAATAAGTAACGAAAATAAAGTTATCATTATTCGAAAGTAACTGTGAATTTTAAGTAACGAGTTATTTTTAAGTAAAAGTAACTGTAAAGTAACGCGTTACTTTTTTCAAGTAACGATCCCAGCTCTGATATGAACCTATATCTAAAATTCACATCCATACCCATATCTTCCTCCATCCATTTCCAGTTGATTGGCGATCCTGAGGAATAATGGTTCTAACCGTTTCTTTTCTCAAGCAAAACCTCTCCAAAAACGTGAAATCGTCCAAGAAATTAGCCCTTTCATAGGCTCTTGGAAATCCATGTTTTATGATATCAAAAACATCCAAGTCATCGTTCAAAAATTCCATTTTGGAAAAATAATCCAATTTACGAAAAGCTACCGCTAAGGATTCCTTACCACTAAGGAATCCTTAAACTAGCCTTTACGAGTGCCGGGAAAACGGTCATAAGGATTGCTTATCGGCATCTTTTTTGGTAATCGCATCCATATTGGCGTATCACCATTGCTGACGTCATTAACTAAGTTGTCAGCTGTTTGCGCCAGCGATTTTAGTTTAAAATTTAAATTAATGATGAAAAATATCATTTAATTTGGATTAACATATTAGGCAAAGAGGAAGATGCAAACGAGATCTAATAAGCAGTTGTATTAGAATGTTGAATAATGCATCAAGTATGCATAAAGGAAAAGCTCGCGGAATCATAACCTGTGGTGCAATCAGCCCACGTCAAGGAGAGGAACGACATGCTGTCCACGTCACAGCTGGTGATTTGTCGTGGTGGGGGGCTGCAGATTCGTTCTACACAGGCCTTATGAGGATAGGCTATCCTGTGTGTATTATCCTTGTCTTGAATTGCCTACAAAGGCGTACACTATAGGAAAATGCATATTGGCGAAGTGTACGTTTGGTAGTTCTCGAGCTGCATCAGGTCTGCGACTAACGTCATCACTATCAGCAGCTAATAGTTGTGACGTCGACCGCAAACCTCAATGGAATGCATGCGATTCAGTTGTGCTTGTGAGTTTGTGCTTTCCTCGATTTTACATGTAGAAAAGGTGATATTAACTAATAATTGCGCGTCTTTTATTTTTTTGCGTAAATCTGAATACACTTAGAACGTCTTTAGTTGTTTCGATTGGGTTTGCAAGAACTATACGAATATACATTGGTACAGTCCGTGAGTCCGTCGATTTCAATCTGATACTCCGAAGGAATGTGAGCTACCTTAGAACGCCAATGATCATCTGACGTCACACCTGGTTTTGCCATATGCTCCACCTTCTCGCTTATCATATGGAAAGTGTCTAGATTAAAAACGACGGACAATACAATGTGAGTGAAATGCAAGGATGATACACACCTACAAGGATTGCTTATCGGCTTCGTTTTTGGTAATCGCCGTCATATTGGTGTGTTACCAATTCCGACGTCATAACTAAGTCGTCGGCTGTTTAAACAGCCTACGTCAAGGCGAGAAATAACATGCTGCCTACGTCACAACTGGTAATTTGTGGTAGGGGGGGATTTGCTACATACAGGCCTTATGAGCATAGGACATCCTGTAGTAGAAGTGTGTAACATCCTTGAGTGAAATGTACATGGTGTCAAGTCATGAAGTACCACCCCCTGTAACTTTTCTATTTTTGATCCTACATAAAAAAAGTTACAGGAGGTACTACTTTATACTTGACACCCGGTACCTTTGATTCGAGTACTATTGGACCTACTTGAAAAGTTTTGAAAAAAACATCAGACATGTTGATTTCTTTTATTGGCATTTTCATTACAAAAATATTTAATAACAAACTCTAATTCTATCAGGGTCTCAATGTAAAAATACTAAACAAAAAACTTAAATTCCACATATTTACAAAAAACTATGGTAAACGGTTAACATAAACGACGATCAAACAATGTGACATGATGATCACCATGTTTCCGGACTACGTGCCATGCATCGTGGCATGTCCTACCTATTTCCCGACAGTCAGCTGACATTTTCCAAATTTGGCTACTATAATTATGTAACACTTCCCTTTGATGTCATACAAAATACCTTCTTATTATAATAGTGTAGGTACTTACAACTCAAGGTCACATACCAACCCAAGGTTGCATATTAACTCAAAGTCACATACCAACCCAAGGTCGCACAAGTGACCTTGAAAAACTCAAGGGGAAGGGGAAATAGGCATTTGTTCACAAGATTCTAAAATTTTAGATAGATTTAAGTTTTTTGAGATTTGTAGTTCACCATTTCTGAAGACGAGATGTCTCGATGTCTGGGCAAACTCCACTAGACAGAGAAAGATTGAACAATATAGGTAATATACTAATATGTAATACAAATTTTGTGTCCTTTGAAAATTCAACTGGTAGGTATGATGTCATCAGGATCACAATTTAAGTTATTGCCTGGCTCACCCATCGAATTAAGGAAAATCTACCATACTTGCGAGAATATCATCAGTTTGTAGTTGCAGCTATGGAAGAACGTTGCTAAGTGGATTACGTGTACACAGACTTTACATCATTCTGCTTAAATTTGAAAAAATGGAAGCAAAGGGTGTTCGCGGAACTCGGCTGACTTGGTTGAGCAGTTATTTATCAGGTCAAACACAGGTGTGAAAGTGAAAAATCTTATGTCTTCAATAATCAATGTATCATCGGGTGTGCCTCAGGGAAGCCATCTATCATCTATGTTATTCAACTGCTTTATAAATGATCTGCAGGACTGTATTCGTCACAGCAAAATTTTATTGTATGCAGACGTTTTGAACATTTTAAAGGTTATTTGTTGTGAAAGTGATTGTATAAAACTTCAAGAAGACCTACAAAGCTTTGCTGTGTGGTGTCAGTCTAATGGGTTGGAACTCAATGTAGGTAAATGTTGTACAATCAGTTTCTACCGGTTGAAGATACTCATTGTATACTCATATATTAAATAATCAGGAACTGATTAGAGAGGAGATTTTAAAGGACATTGGGGATGATAAATTGATAAAGAATTCACATTCGGACCAAACATAGAATACCAAAAAAATAGGTCAATTAAATTGCTCGGACTTGTCATTCTTTCTCTGCAAGATTTCAGTAACATATTATATACATTGAAAAATGTTTACTGTTCAGTAGTAGTCATATGTGTCACTGAATATGCTTGTCCTGCATGGTTTTCCTATTATTAAAAATGGATTGATGAAATTGAGAAAGTCCATCAAAAGTTTCTGTCATATAGGATATCAACTGAGTATTCCAAAGGATGAACTTCAATTATTGGTTCTCTTAGAGAAATCATCACTAGAAAAAAGAAGATTGTACTTTAATGTATGCACATTGTTCAGGGTTTTGTTGCAACTAATTAATTTTAAGGTACGGTACCAACAAGACAAAGTCCACAAAATATTACCTTTGGTGTATTCTCACATGTAACAAATTATGGCTTTTATTCACATAAATCTATAATATGCAGGGAAGCAAATAGGCTACCACCTTCTATTGATTTTTTCAACTCCTCTTTCAATAAATTTAAGCTTAACGTAAATTAATGTTATTGTACATAGCCTTTGACTGTTAATAAATAAATAAATAATTATTATTATGAGTTTTTCGATACAAATATCATTATACTAAGCAAACTTAACTTTCTCTCATTGAGGTCAACAAAGATTTTTACAAAAAAAAATAAGAAAAATCTTAATAATTCGCACCACTTGCTTAAAGATGGCGCCATGAACTATTATCTCTTTACTGTTTTATCTCCTCCACCTCCACCATCTCGATAACCACTCTGATGACTTCTACAGACTTCAACCTCCATTTTTGAAATCACTTTGTGCACTGCCACTTTGGCTTTACAGACAAATGGCGGTGGAAATGACTTCACTGTGCATGCTACGCTTTGAAAAAACGACTCCACGGGTTCGTGTAGGGTTCTTGCAGTTCTGTTGACCTCTAATGGTGACAATGATGGTATAGGTGCTTCAGTTTTTGATTTTGTCTTCTTTTTGGCCGAGGGTTCGTAGTTTGCATCATGGTCTAGATCTAATATTAATTCTGGATCTACTAAGTCTGGTTGGTCAGGTTCGTCTGAGGCCTCTGCTTCTCCGTCATCCTCATTTTCAATTTTAATTCTTGGTTCAGTCTCATTACTTGCAGCAATCTTGTCAATTTTTCTGAAACAATTGTTTATGTTGAAATAACTTGTTAAAAATGAGTTGAGGAATACTTTTTTTTAGGGGTCTTGTAAACGTTACAATGAAGTCATTTATAAAAAAGCAGTGCTATACATACTTTGAGCGAGATATCAAAAATTAAACGAAATTTTAGAAAGATATAGGATACATTATACAGTCCAGATGGGATGGCGGATTCTATAATCTCAAAGCGATAAACAGTCTGAAAGTGTATGACCACAGATTAACCCGTCCTAAGGGGAGTTAATCTGTGTGTATGATACCTCAATGGTATGACCAGTGGTGACATCAGTGATCACTGTGACCTGACTGTGACAGACGTATGACATCAAAATTGTTCTTGTGTTGTATCACTTTTATATATATAGAACCTTAATGCGATTGCACTCTACGCTATGTTCGGTGAATCTACTCACTGCTGTGTTGAGTTTAAAGTTAATTTTTGTTTAGGGACACGAGGGAAGAAAAGGAAGGAATGGGAAAAGAGGAAACGGAATTTCATTCAACTAGAAGAGAATAGGAGCTTTTAAATTTCGTAGGCGAGTCCTGTCAGGGGTAAAGGACCACGCACGGATCTTATGAGAAAAAATAAATTTCACGATTGTCATGAAATTGAAATATGTTATGCTTCTCGACCTCCTGAACGTAAGTTCTCGTAGGCCCAAGAAGATCCTGTGATTAGTTTCGGAGATACAGGGCCGGGATAACATACAATTTTGACAAAAAATAAACATTTCAAAATATGTTGAGTTCAGGCAATGACATATTCTAGGTTAAAAACGGGTGGAAAAATGCCAAAGTAAAGTCATCTGAAGCTTTGAAGGTTGAAAACTTGTCGAAAAATGCCAAAAATATGTCATTCTTGGTTATGAATTCAATTAATGTACCAGCAGATTCTGGATATTTTTTTTGTACTACTTTTTTTTATCGGTCCTGTATCTCCGAAACTAATCATAGGATCTTTTTGGGCCTACGAGAGCTTACGTTCAGGAGGCCGAGAAGCATAACATATTTCAATTTCATGACAATCGTGAAATTTATTTTTTCTAATAAGATCCGTGCGCGGTCCTTTATCGTCAAAAAAAACCGAATTTTCGCGACGAACGTAATTCATTCAAGGACGAACCATAGTTTATCGTCTTGTGACGTCATGAGTTTGAACGTTGGCGTCCATGCTTCCGACAAACTATGTTTAATATGACGTCACGAGATTCTCGCGAAAGCGTTTGTTTTCATGAAATCATGGAAGTAGTTCGTCGCGAAAATTCGGTTTAAGTTTTTAATGTCATTGGTATGGTTAGTTACTGAGTCAAGAAACCGCGTGTTTCTCAACGTCTGCTCAAATCTGTATGTAGGTCCACATTGCGAACATACCACAGAGCGCCGACCATCCTTCAGATTACCTTGCTTTGAAACATCTGCAGTTTTTTCTTGTTTTGTCGTAAATTCGTCAAAAAAACTGGTGCGCCGTAAAGTAAAGAGGGTCGTATGGCTTGTTTTTATAGTAAAAGTTTGTTCTTAAACGAGGTGTGCGCCAAAAATTGAAGATTATTGCAAATGGCACAGGAAAAACCTATGTAAATTCAATGCACTTCACTATCATGTGCGGCGCTTGAGCTCTGGTGACGTCATAGGGTGAGATGCGGTATATTCATAGAGTCGTATCTTCGGTATTAATTGTCATAGAGGGGTGCTGTTTCCCTGTTATTCTTAGGTTTTTTTTCTTTTTGAGATTAATTTTTTTTTGGCGCACACCCCCTTTAAGATTTAATTTACTGTCCTCGTTAAGTAGCGGGAAAAGCAATCATACTAATCTGTTAGATTTGTTCAATTTGTGGCACATATTATTATGTGGAGTCCAAGAAAGTTTATTGTCAAGTATAAGTCCTAAGTATTTACATTGATTTGTCCAAGAATCGTCCAGTATGAGGTTGTCAATGTGTTTATGCGAGTGTTTATGTTTTTTTTTTTTTTTTTTTTTTTTTACGTGAGGCACAGTTTGCGCCGATCTCCTCGCGCAACGCATTTGCCCCGCCCCATGGGATAGAAGACTGCTGGGGCGTGCGGTAGGGTGATCAGTTTTATTTTTATTCATTCGACAACCATAGTCGTGCATTGATATTTTTGAATATTTGGTTTTCTAACGCTTTATTTAATACTTTCGATAGTAGAATGAGTGAAACAAAAATCATGCATGTTTTCTTTTATTTGTATATTGTACATATAATGTACCATTGCGATAAAAAAGTAGTATAAGAAAGTTATTAACGCCTCGGTGTAACATACAAAATTTTTACACTAAATAAACATTCAAAAATATATTGGGTTCGGGCAATGACTAATTAAAGATACGTGACGTTGAGCTTTCAGCCTTTTCAGACTAGATTTTGGAGAAAATCAAGTTAGTCTATAATATTCTTTGCTGACACTTGCGGTATGAGGAGCGAGGGGGTGATTCATATGGCAAAAACAGATGTGATGTCAGGTAACCATTGGCGTTCTAATGTAGGGAACCACCAGCTGACATTCCGTCCGAGTATCAGTTTAAAATCGACGAACAATAGAATATCACGCTTATTCAGAGAAAAATGGTTAAAGTCAAAGTGTACTGAGTCTGAGAACACTTTGACCATAAAGAGCGGATATAATTTAAGTTGCATTTTACTGCAAATTCCGTATATTTTGACCATTTCCGTAAAATTTGCATATTTTTAATGTTCTGTCTATTATTTTGATAAATCGAACAAATAATATATGTACAGGGTGTCCGAATTTGGATGGTTTTAATAGGAAACATCAATTTCTGAGCAAGACACAAAAAAATGAACCCCCCACTCCGAGGCTCAAATTTCATGAATTTTTGATTGGTGCAAACCGCATTTTGATATCTTCAACCGCTTAGCCGCTAGAGGGCGATTCTCGATTTTGAGCAATAATGTGAAACCATCATAACTTTTTTGTTTATGAAAATTATTGATTTCCGTAAAAACTTTCTAGAAGCACTTTTTCAAGCAGAATTCAGTGACGTTCTCAGTTTTTTTCTAGTTGGTCCCAACTCCGAGATATTGACCAAAGTCTGGTTTTTTTCAATAGGACACTCTATATATTAATAGCTCATTAGAAAGCTCGGCTTTTTCTGATTTCAATTATATAAAGTTCGATAGGTTTATCTCTAATAGTTTTCGAGAATAAAAATTATTTCGGTTTTTGTCATAAGAAGTAATGTGTAAGAAAAGGACTGGAAGGAAACTGAGAAAGGTCTCTTTCTAACTCATTTTTTCATATGACAAAAGCCGAAATATTTTTTTTTCTCAAAAACTGTTAGAGATAAACCTATCGAAATTTGTATCATTGAAATCAGCAAAAGCAGAGCTTTCTAATGAGCTATTAATATATAGGGTGTCCCATTGGAAAAAATCGGATTTTGGTCAATATCTTGAAATCGAGGCCCAATAGAAAAAAACTGAAAATTCTGCTTAAAAAAGTGCTTCTAGGAAGTTTTTACGGAAATCAGTTATTTTTATAAACAAAAAAGTTATGAAGATTTCACAGTATTGCTCAAAATCTAGAATCGCCCTCTAGCGGCTAAACGGTTGAAGATATCAAAATGCGGTTTGCACCAATCAAAATTTCAAGAAATTTGAGCCTCAGAGTGGGGGGTTCATTTTTTTGTATCTCGCTCAGAAATTGACGTTTCCTATTAAAACCATCCAAATTCGGACACCCTGTACATATTAGTCCTTCCTTTGAAATTTGGACTCATTTCCAGCACAGGTACCCCAATCTAAGGGTACCCCATCACGGTACCTAATTGAAAGGGCGCATTAAGTACCTTGTCTTATTGCATCTCATAGGACTTAGCCTACCTAAAAATGATGCATGTTTGCTGGTAGGTTCAGGAGGGCTTTATTTGAAATTGAGGCAATTTTGCGCAAATATTACGCAGATAAAGTCAGTTGCGATTGAAAAAGTGCATGTCAACTAAGCCGTGCACCAATTATCAATTGCGAATGACGTCATATGCGTGTACGCAAAGTTGCATCAATTTCAATTAAAGCCCCCCAGATAGAAATAAATCATTTAATGTAGAAAATTTCGGAAAATATTCAGTTGTATATTCATTTTCTAATATTAGTAGCAATTAGTTAGAATATGTACAGGGTGGCCCGTTTATTTTGTCCTATCTCGGTATATGGAAATCTAGATATTTTAGGAAAAAAAAGTTAAATACAAAAGTTGTATGGCTAAAATCATTAATTTGTTTTTTTATATTTGCGCATATACAGGGGGAGTCAAAAAAGTGTGACACATCAGATTTAATTTTTTTTAATAGAACACCCTGTAGATTTCTATATTTTCTGATAGCGCTTTCAAAGACAAATATAAATATATATAGTTTGATAGGATTGTTATGCACGGTTTTGGATTTATTCACGGTTATTTTCAGGGAATGGCCAATTTTTAGATTATTGTAGAAACGTTAGACGTTAAAAATAAATATTTTAAAGTCGGACTTTGATCAAAGGGAAACATGCAAATAAACGAATTAATGATTTAAACCCTATGTGTAAAACTTTTTTTCATAAAATATCTAGATTTCCATATATCGAGATAGGACAAAATAAACGGGCCACCCTGTACTTATACGCATATGTATTTGTAGTTCCATTATTATTTTAAATTCTCATATTGAAAAATAATTCAAAAATGACAAAAATATCCCATTACAGTACTGTCAGGTCGAAACTAAATATTTAACTTCAATAATAAAAATCCGTTTAATCCGGCCGCGACTCCTATCCCAAGCGCGAGAAAGACCGCACCATTCCATCTCGCTTGGTTCCCGACCGCCAGATCAAAGGCGCCGCTCGGAGTTGCCGAGCTGAATAGTGGTTAAGCTGTGGTTTGGGTGCTGCACTCCATATATGTGAGCAGTACTCCATAGTTGGTTGAATCTGGGCTTTGTAGAGTGTCAGCAATTGGCTTGGTGTGTACAGATGTCTTGTACGAAATAGCACCCCCAGCTTTTGGGACGCCCTTCTAGCAATATCTGCCACGTGACTGTGCCAAGACATGTTGGTCTCTGCAGTAACCCCCAAGATGTTCAACTGACTCTGTAATGTGACAGCACTTCCAGATAGCATGATGTTTGGCTCACCGGTGCTGGTCTTTTTTGAAAACAGAGCTGCTTGGGTTTTCTGCGCGTTGAACTGTACAAGGTTTTTGTTACCCCAGTCCTCTATTATCTCCAGGTCGTTATTTATCTGCGATATTTGAGTTAGTCTAAGATGATGGAATTCACGTGCGGAAAAACCTGTGGGTGGTATGAGTGAGGAGACTACATTGCCATCGTCTGCAAAGCAATACAGTGGATTTACTGTTTTATCTATGAGGTCATTTATGTAAATCAGAAAAAGAGTTGGCGAAAGGATTGCTCCCTGTGGCACACCAGCATTTATTTGGTAAGAGTTGGAGTTCTGGCCATCCAGTGCAACATAAATGGATCTGTCCTTTAGGTAACTTTCAAACCAAGTGCAAAGTTTCGGCGATAATCCCATTGCTTTGAGCTTGTTGAGCAGATTTTCATGCCAAACTTTGTCGAATGCTTTAGATATATCTAAGGCAATTGTTCTTGTTTCACGCCGCAACTCAATCGCTTTTTGCCATAAGTGAGTGACGTATGTAAGTAAATCGCCAGTTGACCTATTTTTTCGAAATCCGTATTGCTTATCGTTGATAATTTTGTACTTTTCCAAGTACTTGGTTAGGTGATTGTTCACAACTCTCTCCATTACTTTTGATATCACCGGAAGTAGAGCAATTGGTCTATAGTTTAACGGATCTGTCTTTTTTCCTTTCTTTGGAATGGGTTGTACTGCGGCAGACTTCCATGATGATGGATATACTCCTTGCCTGTAAGAGAAATTGAATAATTCTGCGAAAGTTGGGGTGAGTTCGTTGGCGCAATTTTTGAGTACTATTGCGGGAATGCCATCCGGACCCATTGCTTTGTTTGTATCCAGCTTTTTAAGGGATTTTCGTATTTCTCTGTGACAAAAGGGTACCTCTGGCATACTATGGGAAACCCTTTCAATGAACGGTGGAGTTTTTCCGTTTGGCACTGTTAGGTTGGAGTTGGAGGAAAACATTTGGGCAAGCATATTGGCTTTTTCCTCTGATGTTGTGGCTAAGTGATTATTTTTATCTGTAAGTGGTGGTATGGATGACTTGGTGAAGTTAGATCCAACAGCTTTTGCAAGAGACCAAAAGGACCTAAAACTACTTGGACAATTCAGCAACCTGTTTTTTATTCTTTGATTGTATGTTTCTTTAGTGGAGTCAATAGTAATTTTGCAACTATTTCTGGCTTCTATAAATTCTGTGTGGTTTTGAGCGGTTTGTTGTCGTTTCCAAAGGCTATATGCTCTGTGTTTTTTCTGTACAGCCATTTGACACTGGCCGTTGAACCAAGGTTTTGCATTAGCTCTACGTTTAGTTGTATGTGGGATATATGCATCCATTCCAGATAAAATTACTTGTGTTATTTCATTACAGCAAATAGTGGGATTAGCTGTTTTAAAGCAAACCTCTTGCCATGGAAAATCCAGGCAAAACTGTTTTAGGTCATTCCATTTTGCCGATTTATAGTGCCACATTTTACGAGGAAGTGGTTGTTGGCTTGGTGGGATGAGCATTTCGCACTTTGTTATTATAAGTTTATGATCGGACCAACCAAGTGGACCATCTACTTGAATTGTGTACGAGTCAGGATTTGTGGTTAGGAACAAGTCTAAAAGCCCTGCAAATTCGCCCCTTTCTGAGATACGGGTAGGTTCATCGACAAGCTGTGTTTATGGGTGATCAGGAAAGCTTAGGTCTTATCGACATTAATTTAGATTTTCTATAGCTTGGCTAAGTCCATTATGCAGTCAAGATGATTTTGTAAGCGCCTATGTATATTCTTTTGTGATGTGAAAATACATGTGTTATCTGCATAGATGGACATTTTTGTATGAGGATTAATGAAAATGAGAGACTGCAATTTAGAAGTAGGAGAGAAGGCGAGCTCTGACCAAATATAACAGAACAAGAATGATACATTTTGATGCTTTTGAGAACGCGTTCGTACCAAATTTTATCATAGTAACGTACAAAAAACAAAGATCTTTCTTCATATGGGACTCAATCAGCTACATCAGCTCCTGATCGACACCTAAATATTAGTTACATAGGTGCGAAAATCGACTCGGATCAATAGTTATCTCATGTGAAATGTGAAATACACAGTTCTTGACCCATGACCCCATCAACAAATTACATAACAATTGAACACAATTGTAGCGGCGGGCGTACCAATATCACCCTATCTCAGATCAGTTAATGGAAACCCATTGGGACATGCTTAAAATTCCTTTCCATCGGCAATATGACAGCTACTAAATTCCTTTCAATCGGGAATGTGGAGCTGCCACATAAAAATAAATCCCAATCAACGGAGAGAACACTGGAAACTGATCAACAAGGAGAGAATAAAGTCGGGAACACACCTTCGACATGGTACGTTACGTTACAAGCTGGCGCGTGCAGTACTAAAAATGAGGTACTAAAAGTGAGGTCCTCAATCTTACGTGCTTTTTTATGGATCTCGATCACACACGCTGCATGGTACGGTATAGCCAACATGGAACACTGATATAGACATACTTAATATCACTCTGCCTTCCCTCAGGAGAGCTTTTCTGATGTGATTGTTTTTGTATCATTGGGGAGTATTTCTTTGCATTTTGGTATAATTTTGGATTACTTATAAACATAGAATACCTAAAAAATAGGTTGATTAAATTGCTTGGATTTGTCATTCGTTCACTGAAAGATTTCAATAGCATACATATATGCATTGAAAAATGTTTACTTTGCAGTAGTCAGATCTTTCACTGAATATGCTTGTCCTGTATGGTCTCCCTTTTATAAAAAATGGATCGATGAAATTGAGAGAGTCCAAAAAAAGTTTCTGCGTCGTGTAGGATATTGACTAAATATTCCAAGAGATGAACTTCAATATAGTGACATATTGGCTCTCTTGGAAATATCGTCACTGGAAAAAAGAAGATTGTATTTTGATCTATACACATTGTTCAGGATTTTGAACGGTTTAATTATTTCACCGGCATTGTTGCAACTAATTAATTTTAAGGTACCTTACAAGACAAACTCGACAAAATATAACCTTTGGTGTATCCTCCCATGTAACAAATTATTGTTTTTATTCACCTATATCTGGAATATGCAGAGAAGCAAATAGGCTTCCACCTACTGTTGATTTTTTTTACTCCTCTTTCAATAAGTTTAAGATAGACATTAAGAATTACTTAAGTTTAATGTAAATGAATGTTATTGTAAATGGTCTTTGATCGTTAATAAATTATTATTATTATTATTATTAACAAATGTGTTCATTGTTTTACATTGTTTGTTAGAATAATTAGTTTTAATCTCGTTTTAATTAATTTGAATTTGATTATGTACCTAACTTTGAAAACTTTGTATCTATGTATACAGTGTCATTACTTAAAGTGTGCAACATATGGGATTTTTTTTTAGTAATAGCACAATCAAAATACAAACAAGGCCAAAAGTTGGCGCATGTCTGATTATCATATTAGGTGCACTTAGAATGGTTGCAAGTCAAACAGCATACAGGGTGGCTAAAAAAATATCAAAATTGCAGTAATATGTACTAAAATAAAATGAAACTTTTGCACTTTAAGGAGAGTTTTTTTGATATGGCTATTATCATTGGTAATTTTTTAACTTGTTAAAAAAAAAATTGCGACATTTTAAAGTTGTGTTGAATATCATTGCAACAAACATGAATTTTGTGATTCCATAAAAAATAAAAATCTAAGTTAATTTTACAAATATGCTTGAATTTGAACAAAGTTATGTAAAATTGATTTGATTTTAATTAAGTTTTGAAAGTATTAAGGGTGGAAATAAAAAATAAAAAAAATATAAAAATTATAGATTTTTTTCGAAAAAAAAAATAAAAAAAATCTTAGGAGCTATGTTTTGGTATTTAGGCATAACTATTAATTCCAAACAACTTTCCTCTATAACATTTTGCTGAATTTTCTAAAATAAGGGTACTTTAATAAAGTACACCTCTGATATTGTTTGAGCTACCCTGTATGCTCTTTGACTTGCAACCATTCTAAGTGCACCTAATATGATTATCAGACATGCACCAACTTTTGGTCTTGTTTGTATTTGGGTTGTGCTATTACTTTAAAAAATCCCCATATGTTGCACACTAAAAAAATCACACTGTATAACAAGTTAATGGGGTTTTCCTGTGGATAAATAAATAAATAAATAAATCTCTTAATAGAGATAACCAAATCTCTCTAATGTGAATAGTAAATTAGCACCAATCATTGAAACTAACCTGCTTGGTTTCGTCAATTGTCCCATTTTTTTCAGATTTGCCTCCATTTCTATATCGATAACCAGTCGCAGCACTTCTGCTTTAATTCTGCTAACAAAAGATAGTGGTAAAGTCATAACGGTCTTGGCCATACCATCGAAAAACCATTGAATCGATTGACGTTCAGATTCGTCTAATTGATCAACAGTTTCCGAAGCTAACCGGTCCGATTCCTCTAAGGGTTCAGCCTTTATGAAGGGCAATGTTGATTCTCCATGAGTATCAGATGTTAGTAGATTATTCTGGGTTATCGAAGGTTCATTTTTGATTTTCAAAGGTTCGTTTTCAATTTCGATTTTGACAATAGATGCATCTAAGGGAGTGGGTTGACGTTCTGGCAATAAATCAGGAACGTCTAAGTATGAGTCGTCTACCTCCGAGGAGCTGCAACAAAAATAAGTTTTCAATTTTTTGTTTCATTTTGGCTGTTTCGGGTGCGTGGCAAGACTTTTAAAATGTGTTAGGCAAGATGTCATCAGAAAATAATAATAAATTGTTACCTTAAGTTGTTATAATTTGAAATATCCCTTGACGTGGAAGCCACTGCACCATCATTGGCAGCATTATCTTGACACTCGAAAAGATGGGGAACCACCTTTGGCTTCAATATATTTGCCACTTTTCTGTGCTTACCTTTCATAGAGGTTTGCTTTTCTGTTTCCAACTGTAAAAAAGAACAAAGAAAAACCCTCAGTTTTGGAACACAATTGACAAAATTATAATATATATGTATTTATGACTGGGTATTTAAGATCCTAATAATTATATGATCTTGTAGCCTAAAGACATAGAATTAAACCAAACACTTAAATTTTTGTACTAAAAATTTTATTTCGCATTTTTTATTAGAGTTGATAACACCATGATCATTTTCCATCGATATTATATTGTGCTAGTATTCCTAAAGCATGTAAGCTAACCTAACAAAGGATATCTACAGTAGTAGTTTTTACTTGGCTTGGATGCCTTAATAAATCACTAAACCACCATCACGCACTAAATATTAAGGGTAGAAAAACAATGGGAGAAAAATTTATAAAAAAAAAATACACCGCATCACATAACGGTTGTTTTATTTACATCTAATCTAGTTTTTTTTGCCATGTGGTAATATACTAACACTCATTCCCAGTAACTTGTGTGGGACAACATCTTGTTTCAAGATCTTATGACCTCCCATAATCTTCCATCTCATGAAATCTTGCATGTCAGTTTCAATCTGCAACAATAAAAAACATAAGCACAGAAATGAGAAGAGTAAATAAACAAATAGCTATAGCAAAATAAACTAATGTTCATCTCAAAATTAAATGGGAAAATAACTTTATGATGTAAGTTATGGTCAGATTGATCATAGTTTTACAGAGTCATCGTGATTTTTCATATAATTTTCAGACACACTACAAACTCTAAATGGAGAAAATGGTACTCACATCAAAGTGGTCTTCACAAACAAATACATCATGTGCTTTTGAAAACTCGTGTATCTTTTTGCCCATGGCTGATAGCCATGAGCGTCTCCTTTCTCCGTGCTTTGGCATGAAAAAAAATAATTTATCTGGAAAATGTTTTGAACTGTTTTGGCATCCACTTACAACACAGCGACGGACTTGTTTTTTAGCGGTGTGGCTCATTTCAATTATACCTAATAAATTACACTTACACAATAACTTGCACAATAAATAGATACATTCACAAAATAAAAATGAATCCAGTTTAATCTATCTATACTAATAAGAGAATGGTAGTCATCAACTGTTAAAATGAACTATATATAAACGCACAGGCCAAACTACTTGACCTACAGTTATGAAACTTGGAGGACATATTGGGTTTATGACGTAGGCTCTCGCTATAAAAGGATTTTTGAAAATTTCACCCCCAAGAGGGTTAAAATATTAAAGAGAATTTCTGTATCTCGGAAACGAGAAGCTGCAAAGATCTGAATATGGGCATATAGATTCTACCAACAAAATAAGTGAACATATATTTCAGAGTTTTTTGAAATTTTAACTGGGGGCAGAGAAATACGGGGCAATTTGATTTCGAAAGGGGGTAAAGGGATTTTCTTTATCTCGGAAACGAAAAGTCACAGATGTTTAAAAATTGATATGACTCTACTAATAAATTAATTAAGACCGTGTTTCGGCGTTTTTCTATTACCCCCGTATGTCCCCCCATCATTATATATACATGTATTAATTCCAAAATGTATTTTCAGGCTAGCAACGCATCCCGTAATTTAGCTAGTAAATAAAAAATAAACCCAACATGTGAGGGAAAACGGAATGTAAACAAACAGTAAAATGGTTGCTTCCAGTTTGCAGTAACACGATAAATGTACTAAAATAAAACTAAGGATTTTAGAGTTCACTACCTAGAGCATATTCGCGTCTTTGACTAAGCCACAAAAAAATAAAGGATGGGTATAATCGGCGAACTACAGCAGTACAATGAACCAAAATGTAGGTCACCCTCTATGTTGCCAAATTTTACTTTAAATCTGTATTTACTCTGTCATTAGCAGTAGCAGTGAAGATTATTTTTAATTTTTACTTTACTGAAAAAAGAAAAAGATACAGCTTGTGTGTGCAATCATACAAGACGCTACTGAAATTAAGAGTGAAGCTTCTTCAAACACACAAGCATACCAGGAAAGAAGTTAAGAAATTTCCGCCTGCTACCTGAGTTATGTCTCCTATTTGTAACATAGGATTGTTAACAATAGCAGCTGCAGCTTTCAACGCTTTTTGACGCGCTCTGTATTCACGCACTCGTTGTGTACCGGTTTTTGGTGGCCGTTTTTGCCCTTTAGCTTGGGCTTGCTGAGATTTTCGCTGACGGTGTATTCTCGATCTTTCTGTTGATGTTTTTGCCATAAGGATTATCAATATTCCAAATTAAATACCGCACACACAAACGATAGTCTGTAAACTGTACTGCAAAACCTCGGATAGTATGTTTTTAATGTTTTTATCATTCGAACACCTCTGCCTCTGATATGTTTTTAGGTTATATTTACAGTAGCAAACCTTGAATCCAAACAGCTGTGTCCAAACTGAGGTCCAAACAATGAACCATCTGTTAAAAGAAAATTCAATATGGCGTGGCGGCCGACCCAAGTTTGTTTTGCATACATGTTTTTACGTAAGGGCCAAATTATGGACCAACTGGTTAGTGTCTGGTTGTTACCTAGCAGGTACTTTCTATTATCTAGTGTTGGATAAACTGATATTCATATCAGTGGAACAAAAATTAATAAATTAAACTTTCATTATAAGCTATACTTTGCTAATTTATATCGCAGCTATTGATGACTGAATGTGTTTATAATAGTTTTTATGTGTAAGATAAACAGATGAGGAATCGTTTACTTAACAAAGGGTTTGTAATTCTCTGTCTTGATGTTGAGTCAGTTCGTATAGTTATTTCTATGAGTTCACACGCTCTGCTTTCCACGCTGTGTTCGATATAATAAATATATTGAATATCGATAATTGACAAGTTCTTTTATTTCTTAGTCCATTTCCCAACAGGTTATGGGACCAGTGTACGTGTATTCATTGCGGTTGTGAAAACCGGGAGTGTTTAATGTGACAATGGAAAATTTGAAACTAAAAAAAAACAAAAGGCTTTATGCTAACAGAGCTTGAACTTAGATAAGAACATCAGAGCTCAGCAATTTAGAAATAATTATCGTTGAGGATATTTTAAAAGACGCAATTTCGAAAAAAAAAAAAATCAAGTTTCTGAAACACAATAAAAAAAAAAAAGCGAAAAAAACAATTCCATCAATAAAAAAAAAAAAAAAAAATGGAACCCTTATAACAGCAACCAAAAAGGCACAATTAGTATTCCCAGTAATATGGGCATACAGGAAAGTCTTTGGTATAGGCTGGACTGTCCAGAGGTTCCTTACAATTTGCTATCCGTAAGAAAAATGCAAAGGGCTAGTATGAATATTGCTTAAAAAAAAAAGTGGTAGTATTTAGAAAGGCGGTAAGCTTATAATTTATGGGTAAGTCTTTCAACACTTTAATAATAATTGCTCTTGAACTCACTGTTATTGAAAATTAAAAAAAAAAACACTTGTTTAAGCAAATAGTGACGATTAAATGAAAATAAAAATTATCAATTGTGGTTTGAACGATTGGTCCACATTGGTGAGGTTTAAATTATTAAATTATTATAACAAAAAAAAAAAAATAGAGATCGAGGACTTAGGGCGCAAATCGATCAGGTTATACAATGAGTATTTATGTGGAGCGTGCATAAACAAGCGCGACTTCCATTTCAAAAACATTGTACTGTTTGTGCATGAATTTACTTACTATTGTGTAACATATTTGATGAATCATAAGTCATATGTATTTTGTATGTTTCAAGATTCAGTTGCTGAAAGTGGGGCACATTTCAATTTACAGATTTTCAATGTATTCTGTGACAATGAAGGTGAATATCTAGCTACAGAAATGAGAGATTTTTGGTATGCAAAAAGATAAGTCATCATTTGACAATTCCATGAACCCCAGAAATTAAATGATGCAGCTATATATAAAAAAAAAGTTGGAGGCAGTTTTAACTGCAACATTCTCACTTAGTTTGACCCCTCTAAAACTTTAAAAGAATTTGAAACACCATACGAAATGTGGCGTAGTAAAAAGCCTCAAGTAAAATATTCATAAGTGTTTGGTTCCATAATACCGTTTATAAGTACATAAAAACCAGGAAAACAAAATTTGATATCAAATCCTGGAAAGCTGTACTGGTTGGTTATGAACCAAATGAATACGAAGTGTGGGATGTAGATAATCATAAGTTTGTCCTAGTTAGGGATATTATTGTGGACATAACAAATTGGTTTTTGTCCTCCAAGCCTATTAATCTGCATAAAGCTGATTCCTCTGACTATTTGTCAAGAACAGTAGTTAATAATAAGCTTGAAAAAGTGAATGTAGAACACTTTGATTATAAAGCTGATTCCTCAGACTATTTGTCAAGAACAGTAGTTAATCATAAACTTCAAAAAGTAAATGCAGAACACTTATGGTCATAAAGCTGATTCCTCTGACTATTTGTCGAGATCAGTAATTACTAACAAGCTTGAAAAAGTGAATAGAACACTTTATTTGTAAAAGCTGATTTCTCTGACTGTTTGTCAATGTCAGTAGTAACTAATAAGCTTGAAAAGTAAATGTTTAACTTTTATGGTCATAGAGCCAATTTTTCTGACTGTCAATATCAGTGGTTAGTTAATGATGTTTGAAAAAGTGAATGCATAACACTTTGGTGATGAAACTGATTCCTTTGACAGTTTGCCAAGATTGCTGGTTAATAAAACTGATAAAGCAAAATCAGATGACCAACCAATCCAAGAAAGTAGCTAACTGTTAACCCACAAACTTATCAAACTATATAATGAATGATTATAGTAAATCTGTGGTTAAAACAGATCTGCCAAATGATATTCATTCAGTTTCCACTATAATCACGATTCCCAAAGTAGTTAAATTAAAATCCTCCATTGAATTGCATCCAATAAATTTGTTTTGCACTATTGACAAAATTTTGGAGAAAATGGTGTATATGCAACTTATTGAGTTTATAGGTAGATAGAAATAAACTATTCAGTGATTTTCAATCAGGGTTTCGAGTAAGTCAATATTAGTAGTTGATAGTGATTATGAAAAAGTGAATGTGAAACACTTTGATGATAAAGCTGTTTCCTCTGATTGTTTGTCAAGATCAGTAGTTATTAATGAACTGAACTGAACTAAACTGGAAAAGTGTCAAAAATTAATGTAACACTTCGGTAATTATTAAATCTGATATAGCTAAATCAGATGAGTAACAATTCAAGAAAGTAGGTAAATGTTAACCCTAATAAACTCATTAAACTAAATAATGAGTATAGTAAATCTGTGATTAAAACAGATCTGCCAAATGATATTGATTCACTCATTATTGGTAAATAAAACGTAGTCGTTAGTATCAAGACCCGAATATAAAAATATAGTGGATTGTAAATGGATATTTTCCATTGAAATGATGAAATTGGAAAACCATTTAGATGCTCAACATTACTTGGTAGATTATAATGAAATCTTTGCACAGGTGGCGAGAATCGTAGGTTTCTGGTTTATAATAACGTTTTTAATCAGTTTATCCTTTTAATACATCATATGGATGTAAAAACAGCTTTTCCGGATGGGACATTGA